GTGTTTGTTGTTGTTGGAGGAGCAGCTCGGTCACACACTAATGTCATTAGTTTGTTATCATTACTGAGCTGCAGGAATACTTTTTTTCACCTCACGTCTCCTGCCTGGATCTGTTATTATCTCACTCTGAAGCACAGAGGAGTGTCAGTGGTGAGCTCGTTTCAACTGATTTTTATAACGCAGTCTCATTTCCAGACTTTTGTGAATGAAGCCGAAATTTCAGTTAAAATACATAAGTAAAAGTATTTATTCGAGTATAGTACTATCCCCCAACTTTATAGATGATTTTACCGATTTAATTTTTGTATTATACTTGAATAAATATGGTAATTTGAATTTATATTTCCCTCAAGTGGGTCTTATCCAACTAATGTGGCTTCTGAAGGTAATTACTGGCACTTAAAAGCAAAATATATAAATGCACCACTTTGCAATTTTATATATTTGTTTAAATCTTGGAGTATTTAGTATTCATCCATTCTTTATAATCAAATTAAAATCCATTTAAATTCACAGTTATGAGATAACAACACAATCCAAGGGGATGAATAATTCTGCATCAAACTGTAGGTTCACAACCTTGATCTCAGGAAAAATAAATCAGACTATAAATAATAATAAATAAGAACTWTTTAAAAACAATGTTAATAAAAATAGTTGAAGGAGGAGGCAGACAGAGTGGTGTCAGTGAAATGTTGAACCTGAAGCAGTTTGTTTTGGGTCAGTGTTCATGRGCTGTGTGTGCTACAACAATCAGGATGTGTTTCATGAATAAAGCAGGCCAACATTAAACCAAGTGTTATTTGTTACAAGCTCAGCACTTACTTGTTGATGGTTCGACCAAATGTGACCTGGACCAGAGCTATTAGTGTCTTCCTCACCCACTTAAACACTGAGCAGGAACAGAAAACAGTCAGCTGGTCACAGTCATGCAGTTAGACTTTACAACAGCTGGTGAACTGCTCACTTCCTCTGAGCTCAAAGATCTCTGCAATCAGCATGAAGCAGGGCTCGGCCAGAGCGTTTCTACGACTGTCCGGTTCATCTCCGTAATCTGACAGGTCGCTGTCATCGTCAGCGTCTTCCTGGGAACAGCAGGCAGCAGGTGCAGCGTCAACAAGGATTCAGGGCGAAACGCAGAGCTGAGCTGCTCAGTGCCTACCTCAGTGTGGGAGAAGAAGTCTCCAGGTAACCTCTCCAGAAAGGAGGCCAGAGAGAAAGAAGACTTCTTCTGAATGGACATCACCTTCAAACACACAAACACACAGATGAATGAACATCTACTGCTGCTAAATCTGGACAGAAACAATGAAGCTGGTCACTGATGAAACAAGGTCAACAACAGATCCAGGCTCCTGAACAGGGAACAAGTCTGAATTATACAAGTTATGGGTTTTATCAMGTTTCAGCATGAATTTCTTCTAAACTTTAAGTCTAATAATTTGTGGGATTAAGGGCTGCATGATATCAGGAAAACCTATGATGTGTAAAAACACAGCTTAATATTGTGATTATGATATAACTTGTGATCAGTGAACAAATACTGAAGTGTGCAGTGTTTCTGCTCTGGCTTCAGAGGAAAAATTTAACCTCTGATACATCATTTCCTCTCCAACATGAAAGTTTTAWTATAAAACAGCACAACTAGACTCTAGGGATGGGCAATATGGACTAAAACATTTATCATAATTTCCAGGTTTTATCACGATAACGACAAGTGATGATATATCAGTAATATAATAAAAAAATAAAACTATAAGAAAATACTTTTGACTAATCACTGAAAATACTGAGTTTAGCTGCTGTGGGAGGTAAAGCTGTAATATCTGTTCCCTGAAGGGTTAATGTTCAGGGGAGGGAGGGGCTAGTTGTGTGACTGAACCGTGCAGCCTGGCAGGGACAGAGGAGACGGAGGAGTTGTGTTGTTTTTTTAACGTATTGTTGAACTCTAAACAGTTTTTAGATGACTGACTGTGTTTTTGCACGCTGACAGTCATTACCATAGYTTTTTAGCTTCACTACTTTAGCACATGCTCCGTGCGTTGACGTCCACTCTGAGTAAACTAAGCTTAACCTGGTGAGGAGGCAGGTAAAGCCTGGCAGTGGGTGTTTATCGTTTTTATCCTGAGATGACAAATYATTACCATGATGAATGTTTTTGATGGTATATCACACATGATAACATATCACCCATCTGTACTGGACTCAGCTGCTGCAGCAGCAGTACAGTTTAATGACTTTAAAACATCGCCCCAATAAAACTTTTTCTGATGCTTTAAATACTAAAAACACCCATTTTTACTTTTATATAAATAATACAAACATCTGAAAATAAGTTAAAGAATTTTATGTTAATACATCTGCATACACAACAGTTTATGTAGATAAACAAACAGGCTGATAGTGTGATGATGATGAGAAGTTTGTGATATATTGTGCTGTGATGCTGCCAAGCTAACATTATACAAAAATACAATATATGTGTTGCTGTCATCACACATGAGCCTACTGAAGCTGTGAGGATCAGAGCTGTGCACCTGAAGGACAGATTGTCTAACACAGTRGTTCCCAAACTTTTTATCTTCTGACCCACAAAGTATTCATGGCAAAAACTTGTGACCCCAAATATTACTGGTCTGAGTACACAAACTTCGTTAATAACCCTA